TGGGCTGAATTGACAAGCATGTGGATCATGAAGTTTGGGCTTGGTTGTATTGCCCCTGGTTGGGTTGGGTTTGGTCATTGGGTTAGAGCTATTTGACTTGACTCTTGAACAAATCTATTTGATTTTGGAATTTATCCATTTGGTTCTGGCACATTTGCTCGATAACCCTTATATATTGGGAGAAGTCCATACTTRGGTTAGGTTGACCTTGGGCTGTAACCATGGGTTTCAGTTATATAGACTTTTATTTAAAAGAAATGAAGAATTGTACCTGCATGGACCCGCAACTACTCCTACCCGCTTGCTTAAGCAAAGGCAAAAACAAGAATACAAATGCAAACAAAAAGAGATGCAAGACAATAAGACTAGTAAGTGCAAGTAAAAGACAAATGCTCTAAAATGCCTAATTGGGACTCTTAAGGATAGTTGTTAAGGCTCTAGATGCAAGGGCTTGGCTTTGTTTCTATAAGCTCTTAAGGGGTGTAGGGGAAACTCAGTCGGGTCAGACTGTCCATATACCTTAAAACAAGTTTTGGGTATGTTATTGAGGCCTTACCTCATCAATTCAGAGCCACCAACCTTATTCAAGCAATGGCTGGATATACCGGAGATAAGAGAGAAGGGTCATCATCTTTTTAGGACGGTTATTCCTAAGCAATTATACCAATGACCGCATATAGTAGTATAGTCGAGTCGGAAGGACAAAATGCAATGCAACATGAGTGAGGTGTGTGCAACATGTGTATAGGCCCAAAATTAATTAAATATCCTTGGAACTCGGTTTTTAGAGTTTGGTCCTCTTAGAAAATCCCCATTGGAGTTGCTATCCGTGGCTACCTGACTTAAAGGGAGGACGGAATGGATTGGAGTCACCACCTAAATTTTTGGGAAATGGGAATTTAGGAAAACCTAAGAAATTTCAGGAAAATATAATTTGTTTTCTTGGTGACTCATTTCCCAATGGGATAGAGATTCTTAAGGTCTGAAGACCAAGGTACGGTGCGGGAAGGTGTTAGGCACCTTACACATGCCCGGTTAAACCGGCCTCTACTTCACCAATATTCCAAGGAACATTTAGTTTTTTTTTTTTTGGCTCAAAAGAGATAAATACCACACTAATAACAAGAGAAAAAAAAAATCTAAGTATTTAATTAACAACTAGGCAAGATAAATCATTAAAGACGAAAAGAATAATGCATAAGATCAAGGATTAAACATAGAAAATCAAAGAGAGACTAGGATAGTCAAACATTATATTAAAGGGATTTAAGGCAATGATTAATGCAACTAAAAAGCTGAAACAATAAATAAATTAAATGACCCACTAACAAATAACACTCATGATGATTAATAATTTAACTAAATTGAGAATGCAAATAAAAATAGAAAAAGAAAAAAAATAACTAAAACGGTGCGATCTAAAGATTGGCCAATGCCTAGGTGGTTGGGGTATGAGCCGAGTTTGGTGTTGATGAAAGGTGCTATGGAGAATCTAATAGAAGATGGTTTGGTGGTGTGAAGTGAGGGATGATATCTGAGAAAGTAAACCCGAAAGGTTATCAAAAAAAAAAAAAAGATTAATCACATCCTAAGTCATGAATTTGTTTATTGAATTAGGGATGCAAATAAAAAGTGGGATGAGAAAGATGTTTGACTACTGGTTACATCGGTGTTACTTAGACTAGAAAAACTAACTGAAACAGAAATTTTCTTTCATAAAACAACATGCTTTTGGATGTTGAAATGTAAAGGCACAAAAAAGATAGAATTTAAAGTATAYCAAAAAGTTAAGTATCCTATTATGCATAATGGTAAAGACACGGCAATCTCCTAATCTAACAAGTGAAAATTAAAGTGGAGGATGTTGTCATTAGAAAAGAGTAGAATGGATGAATGTATCGATGGAGTAATTGTATAAGAAAAACAACACAAGTAGTACAAAAAAACAACAAAATCAAAACAGTCAAAACTGAATAAGAGAATGGTGGGGCCAATTATTTGCTAATTGAATTTAAGATAAAATCAAGGGAGAAGTACAAATCAGCCCAGCTCAGAATTTACTAGGCCCAAAGTACAGGGGGAATGCATCCTGACCGTGAATTGATGCCAAATTCACGGGCAGGATGTGGTTTATAGGGGGGGACAGGGCTACTTATAGGGGGGGGGGCTGGAATTCAGAATTCTGCCAAAGACAATTTCATGATAGATTTATAATGCCTTATTCCTTCCTCAATACATTCAACAACGTTTGAATTCTTATTGAAGACTTTAACACTACAGTTTAATTAACCTAATCATCTTGTCCCTTTGCCGATGTATTCTCACTTATGATAGTATGATGTCTTGAACAATTTCTTTTGAGGCTAATCGTGGTGTTTGATGGTAATTTTTCTGTTGCAACATATTGACTTTGAGAGTGCTTCATAACCACTACATTGGATGTAATCATGACTTAGGGATTCTTTGACCGTAATATCGGTATGGGGGACTCTAAGGACGTGAGAGATGGTGGGGAAAGAGGGGCGTGAGTTAGGGAAGCTTGGGGCTGAAGGTGGTTATTCTATAGGCTAATGGGAGTAGAGTTCTCTCCCTATGTTAGGTTATGTGTCTAGAATGTGAGAAGGGGGGGGGGGTATTTATAGATTTTTTGAGAGGGGGGTATAAAGGGCTGAGATAGGAGACAAGGGAGATCAATGGATGAGATTGAAAGGGTTTTTGAAGGGAGATTGATGGGTTATCAAGACAGCTTTAGAATAGATCCTCTCAATCAATTAAGACAATGAAAGGAAGATTTCACCAATTTACCTTAAATTGGACTTTCCAAATTTAAGTGATTGGCTTGATTGATTGGATGCTCTTAGTTGGCAAAGTCTTGGATTTTAAGATGGTTCTAAAGCTTGGGAGAAATGTTTGGTCGTGGGATGCCCTAGGTTCTAAAGCTTGAGAGAAAGGTTTGGATTTACGTACCTATGGTCTCTGATTTTTTATTTGATGTGAAATGATGTTTAGGATCAAAATGATTCCGATCGGACAACTGGAACCAGTTTCGGCTCCGAGTGTTAAGATGAAGGGATAGACGGTGTCGGATTCGGGTGATCTTGGTGCCATTGGGTTTGGTTTTTTAGGCTTTACATACTTATGGTCTTGGATTTCTGATTTGACGTTAAATGAGTTTTATGATCAAAATGACTACGATCGGACGATTGGAATCGATTTAGATTTTGGGTCTTAGGATGAATGGGTAAATAGTGTCAAATTTGAGTAATGTTAGTGTTGTGGGGTTTGGTTATGTACCCATGTTCTTGGATCCTTGAGGCCCCAACTTTTGTAAAATTTCCAAAATACCCCAAGTCGATTGAGAGGTTAGCTAAAGCAAGCCTGAAGCTTGGAGTGCTGTAGAAAGTATGAATGGATGCAAAAATGGGGTGTCTACACCTGTGGTCAAGGTTTTTTTCTTGAAAATTAAAATAATATTCATGCTAACAGTTTTCATTTTTATACTTACATATATGGGTATGTGCTATATCAACGTTTTTGAACCGCCATTGATTCGAACAGTCGGGCTGTTTGGCCCGGGAACTGTCTAGGCAACTGGTTCCATTTTTCCATAAACCCAAAATCTGATAAAAAACCGTTGAAAAAGTCTACCCGTTGACCCGTTCAATGGTTTTTGACAATTATTTATTTATTTATTTATTTTTTTAATTTTGCTATTAGAATGGACCGTCCGGGTCATTTTTTTAAAACGTTATGCTATATACATGTTCAAGGAAAGCATAAAGATACAAATTCACATTATATATTCAAATTTAATTTTATGATCTACACCAAAACCAAGTTAAATATACACTTTGTAGAGATATATAGATATAAATATAGAATATATGAAAATGTCCAATTATATTCTAACCATTTGGTTGGGCAGATCGAAGTCCCATTCCCATTTATGGTGGAATTACACTTGATTCCGATTCGAAGAAATGACGATTCCCTCCCCCTCACTTGGGAATGAGAAGCCATTTGAATTGATTCGGACTCCAATTCCAATTCCCATGTGAATCGGACAGGTAAGAGAAATAAACCATTATGATTTTGATTCCGATTCCAACTGCAAACCAAAATGACCCAAAATTATAGGAGATGTTTGGAACCATGGCCGTTTTTCAAAAAAAACGGTGCCACGTCAAATCCACATAGGTGTTTCAACAAATGCCCATGTATCTCATTGTTTGGTTCAGCCGATTAATAAAAAATCGGACATGCCTTGAAAATCGGGATCCCATTGAGGCGTTTCAAGCCTCAAAAATTTGATATTTTCATGCATCGATGAACCGTTTCCCCAACGGTTGATTGATATATATCCTATGTGGTGCTTACTCGTTAGCACATACATGAAAAACAATGATGAAAATCACCTTACCAAACAACATAGTGTTGTTCACTAGAAGCATTTTTTTTTTGGAAAACAAGTGTTGGAAGCATCAACATTTTTTCTTAAAAATTGGTGCCAAAAAGCACCTACACTTCCAAACACCATGTTAATTAAATCAGGTCAGATTTCAGATAGGCCATAGCATATTCAATATTCATACCCAGCTTGAAATGAATTCAAGGGCAAAAGATGGCGTCTGCATCTGGTTTTGGTCCATTGGAATTTAGGCTGGGCCAGTCCAAATTGCTTTCTCAGTTCCGGAAACATAGGTTAGAGCGTGTTCAATGTTCAACCTAGCCTGGAATTCCGGTGCAAGACTGTAGGGGTGATGATGGCCCGGGCCGGGCTGAAATTACCACGCCAAAAGATGGGAGTCTGGACCATGTTTTGGCCCATTAGAATTTGGGTTGGACCAGTCCAAGTTGCAACTCGAATTCTCTCTGTTCCGAAAACATCTCGATCTCGCTAAGCACGTGACTTTTTTTTAGTTTTTTATTTTTTATCTTTTTATTTCTTTCTTTGTTCCTTTCCCTCTCGTGCCGTGCCATCTATATATATCCGTGATTCTCTAATTGTTGCCTCCCCCTTCTATTCTGCATCTGCGAAACCCTAACCCTAGTTTTATCGTTTTTCTGCGGTCGCAAAGTCTTTGCAAGTCCTAAACCCCATTTTACTTAACTTAATTTCCTGATCTTTGTTCTCTATCAGATCTCTGGGTCGTTAGATATTCCGGAAAGGTAAAAGGTTATGGGTTCGAAATCTAAGGGTGCATCATTGGAAAACGATTCAAAGCCCTCCGACGGCCAGCACACGGGAGAGGGAGCGAGTCCTGGGTTTGTTTTGCTGATGTTTTCATTGATATTCATTTTTCTTTCATAGTTGGATCTATTTTTTTCTTTGCTATTTAAATGTGTCTTTTCTGATTTTGAGTTGTATGTCATATCCACCACAGAAAGATTTTTATCGGTGGATTAGCGAAAGACACGAGCTTAGGTGAGCTTTCAAATTGCTATTTCTTGTCTCGTAGTTTTTTTTTTGGTTATTTTTCTTCTCACTTGGGTTTTGTCTATATCTTTTCCTTTAAATAATTTGAATGTCGTTGCTTATTTAAAAAAAAAGTTGTTCAGTTTCTCAGCTCATTAGCTGTAGTGAATATGTCCTTATTGCTGCTATTAAGTTTCTACAATCCTAGTAGTATTTATTTCTGTCATCTTCTAATGCTTAGTGAATTTGGCTAGAGAGTTAATTTTGAGGGCTAGGGATTGAGCAGATAAGGTTATTTTATACTTGCCCACCATTCGTCTTAACCTCCGTTGCTTTTCGATTTGTTTTTGTGATGAAATTAGCTACATTCACAAAGTATTTCGGAAAATATGGAGAGATAACCGATTCAGTTATAATGAAAGATCGATACACCGGGCAACCAAGGGGTTTTGGGTTTATTACCTATGCTGATCCATCAGTTGTTGACAAGGTTATCGAAGAGACCCATGTTATCAATGGAAAACAAGTAAGTATCTTGTTATGCTTCTTTTTCTTCATTTTGTTATTGTTTTATATTTTATGTTAATGTGTTATATTCACGTTAGTATGGTTATGGGGTTCGTTATTTTGGGAGATGGTGAAATAACATGGGAATTCTGTTAGATGGACCATTAAAAGTGGGGTTCTCTTTACCCATGAGATTAATAACTTAAACAGGTCTCTTTCATTGGTAAGAAAATATATTAACTATTTGCAAGCCTGATGCTTTCTGAATTTTAAGAGCTTTTGGAGATGTAACCTGTATGTTGTTTGTTTTACCTAACATTTTATAGCTTGGAATTATTATTTCGACGGTGTTTTTTTCTATGTTACGGCTGAAACTTCATGAAATGCTGAATGAAAAGTACATACCTGAGAAGACTTGAGTATTTCATAGTTGTCAACTTACATGGATAAACAATGAAAAATGTTAATTTATGCTATTGTTTTTGGAGCTGACAGGTTGAAATTAAAAGAACCATACCTAAGGGCTCTGTACAATCTAAGGATTTTAAAACAAAGAAGATCTTTGTTGGTGGGGTGCCAACAACTGTTACTGAAGGTATAATTTCTTCTCATCAATACCCCAGTCATATGTTATTCTTTTTTTGCATTTTAAATGCATCTGTCTTGCATATGCATGTAGTTTCTTTTGTTAGATGGCAATAATATATTAATTTAGTTTTTTTTTTTTTTTGCATTTGCAATATATTAGATGAGTTCAAAAATTTCTTCTCCAAGTATGGGAAGGTGGTGGATCATCAGATCATTCGAGATCATGCAACCAATCGTTCTCGAGGCTTTGGATTCATAATATTTGACATTGAACAAGTTGTAGATGATATATTATCCAAGGGTAATATGATTGATATGGCAGGCACCAAGGTGAGTTTAATGAAAAAGTTATTCAGGAAATTGTTATGTACACCTATATGGTTTTACTTCATATTGCAACATGTGGCTTCTAATTATGTTCGATGGCATATATTATCGGATTTTTGGTGTAATAATTTTTGCCTCTTTCTATTGTACTTATCACAAATCCAGTGGTTTTGTTTTACCTTAGGCAGATATCGAGACAGATGCCATAGGTCTTTCAAGGCCATGTTGCCAAGATAAATTTTTACAGGTCCCAGAATTTAGGTTAACTTGCTTGCTTTGTTGTAGGTTGAGATCAAGAAAGCTGAACCAAAGAAGCCCTCAAATCCACCACCTGCTCCTGCATTTGGTAGTGATTCTAGGGGCCGTCCATTTGGTGACGGTCTTGGTGGATTTGGTGACTCTTATAGTGGTTTTGGTGGCGGTGGGTTTGGTGCTGCTTCATATAGGAATCCTGGAGGTCTTGGTGGTAGGCTTGGTGGGTATGGTGGTTATGGTGGTGCTAGTGATTTTGGTGGTGGTTATGGGGGTGGTTTTGGCAGCAATGGCCTAGGTGGTTACCGAGGAGAGTCATCCCTTGGTTATTCTAGTCGTCTTGGACCATACAGTGGAGGATTTGGAGGAGGTTATGGTGGAAGCGGACTAGGTGGCTACGGCCGAGGAGGTGAAGGCTATGGAAGTTATGGAGGTTCAGGCTACGGAGGTAGTTACGATTCTGGCCCCGGTGCCAGCTATGGTGGTGCAGGTGGTTTTTATGGAAGTAGGGCAGGCTATAGTGGCAGTAGTCGATACCATCCTTATGCAAGGTAGAAAGAGATGCATCTTGTTGCAAGTGCTTAAGCTTCATTTTAGCGGTTCGGCACGGGTATCTCTAGATTTCAGCATAATTCTTCTCTTATGGCTCGATAGAGGCTTGCAGGTGCTAGAAGTGTCTTCAATTAAAAGGAAAGGTCTAGAAGATCAGAGGAAGTATTGTTAGATATTTTTCTTCATCTCTCTTATGGCTCGATAGAGGCTTGTGCTGTATGACGTAGACCACCTTTTTAGACCGTCTTCTATTTAGTGATTTGTGTCTGCTTGTTAGACATGTTAGATAAATTTGTGGGTTTAGCTTGATGTAGACTTTAGCCTTTTAAATTTAGAGTATGCTACAAGTTGTCCTGATGATACTAGATAGATATATTTTCTTTTACAATTAGCTGTAGCAAAGGAATATTTTTATCATTGCAAGCACTAGGACTTGCTAATGCTTTGCATTGGCCAGTGGGCTGTGGTATTTTATGAAAGCTCAGGACCAGGACATGGCAGGAGTTGCACCTCATTCCTAATTAGTATGGTAGCGAGTTATGTGTTCGTTTCTTCTGCTTTCTAGGTGTGCCAAGGCCTAAGGAAGTGTGCTTCTGCATCTAATAATTAATAGAGYCAGAATCCTCCAGGCTCCAGAGGCGCTGGTTTGTCTTAACTTCCCAACCTCTCTACATACATTAAATTATTGCCTAACCAACCATCCACCCTCTGGCGGTGGTGATTAACGTTTAGAGAGCAGACTGCAGAGGTATTTGATCGGGACTTGTATAACTTGTAAATTTCAAATTCGTTCTGTGGTTGGAGGGGTTTGTGACTCACCGAGGTGTAGGACTCAGCAAGTTTAAACAGACGGAAGCCTCTGATCTGGGTGGGGTTTAAAATCATTCATTCCCCTTCCTCCCGAGTCCCATTTCATGACTAATATTAAATTATAACCAGGTTTTAGCATAATACATCGCGACCATAGCTATAGTGGCTATATTCTCGTCTCTAGTGCCTTGGATAAAGATCATATATATATATATATGCCATTCACTTGTTTTGTTTCTCTWACTATCTGTTAATTAAGATGTACCTTACCTATATTGAAATCTGATTTGTGATTTGTCGATATTCGGTAATGGTTCAAGTTAAGCCAATTTTGGATGCATTTGCATAATTTTATYAACACCTTTTTTATCATTGGGTCTCTATGGAGCAAGGTTCAAAGTATTGACACTTATCGGCTTGTATCGGTTGATACGTGGGACCCCTCCGATATTCTCTACAGTGAGTGTATTGGAGGTCTGACCGGGTCAGGGGTAGATGAGACCTGAATCGGTCCCCTCTGAACTGGTTGCAAAAAAAATTAAAAAAACATTTCAATGTGTATCGATTCACCCGAAATACCCCTATTGGCGTATCGAGCGTGATATTTTGAACCTTGCAATGGAGTGATTATTATTTTTCCCTTGAGAATAATGTGCTCCTCTGAAAGCTTTTTGGTTTGGGCCGTGTGGCAAAAAAGGGTCGGTTGTTACATTGGTTTGTCACTCAAGGTCATGTCTTTGCATCTTCTCATGGTCATCCTCGTATGTTTTCAACTTCATGACCCACCTCACTACATCTAACCTTTTTTCAGACCAAAGACCATACATACATTTGTCAAGTTTTGAAATTGAAGATGCAGTTTCACAATCTTTATCCATATGATTCTGTCCTAACACCATCTAATGTTTTTGATTATTATATGAAAAGGAATTCACTAAAAAACTTCAAACATCTTTATATTCTCCACCCACCGGGTAGCCTCCGCACCTCCGCAATCTTCTGTGATATCCACGTTTTCTTCACAAACCATCGGAATGATCAGCGACACCTGACAAATTTCTTCCACCTGAGTCATCGATGGTATCAATGATAATTCATTGAGGGACAACAGCAATATGTATCGATATGTATCATTCTGGGACCCCTCCAACATGCCCATATAGTGGGTATATCGGGGTTCTGACCTGTTAAGTGGGTGGAGGCTTAAACTGGCCCCCCTGAACTGCTTTCAAAAAAATATAGAAAAACAAAAAAAAATTCTATCGATTTGCCCCGGCCCATACCAGGGTATTGAAATTTTGAACCTTGGCAGCTTGTCATGTAAATTTGTGACCACTCTGGAACAGACAAAACTCCGCAATATGGCCGGAAAAAGAGTGCTTTTATTTTTCTATGATCCCCCCTTTTGACAATTTTTCTCTTTGGTCTTTTTGGTTTTTGCAAGTTGGAGCATTGATAAAAATAAGAAAATTCTCTGCTCTTTAAATTTGGGAACGCTTATTTGAAAGTAAAAGGTGAGACTCGTGAGATCGTGAGGGGGATTGGCTCTTTCCTTGTTCAGAGAAAGGTACGGGGCGAATGGATAAGGCCAAACGAGGTCAAGGTTTGCACGTTTTTCGCAACGGACGCGGATGTTTCGGGCCTTCCGGCTCGTCCTTCTGTAGTTCTTGAATTAAGACTGTTCCTGAGATTGAAGAACCACATTTCACAATGTTACACGGCCCATTGTATTTATTTCGYATGTTTTTGCACTTTTTCTATATGTATTTTGAGATTGAAGAGTGTTTTTATGTGCGTTACATTTTCACTATAACCAAGGTCCTTCATTAAGTCGAACCTGGTTAATTTTAATTTGTATCACGTCTTGAAGCTTCTATTACTAAAGTCTCCATCAAGCACTTGAATAAACTCGATTTGTGTTGCCGGTACGCAGCAGCCATCAGATTACTAGCCTTTTACAGGGCATTTTGCATTAATTCCACTTAGCTGTGTGCTTTGTGTCTTGCGAAACGGTGTAAAAAAATAGGGTTTTTTTACTGTTAAGTGCGTGTTTCATATTTTGAATCGTTGTAGGTCTGTAGTGGAATTCAGAATTCTGAGGTGGAGTGCAGTCTATGTATCTCTAAAAAAATAAGGAATTTAGTGGGGCCCTGTGCAATGTATGCGCAAAAACCCGATATTTAGTATTGCGATAAAAGGAATTAAAAGGAAATGTAAACCGTTACATCATTTGGCTTTGACAAATTAATAATGGAAGAAATTATAAAATAATGTAAGTCAGAATATATTGATGCAGAAGGAGCACTATGACATTTTTCCTTTGGATCAGGATGCACAACAGGGCCAGCCCTTCCCTCGAACCCATAGCCCTCCAATCCTTATGGCTATATGATTTGATCCTAAGGCTGAGTTTGGAAGGAGTACAAATGCAAATATGTAGAGTGCAAAACGTTATATCTGTACATATTTGCATTTGTACTGCTTCCACACTGCGCCAGTATTTGCTGCCACCAATATCTAGAGAATCTAATTGAGCCACCATCAGGTGGTTTGTATTTTCCTAGTTATTATATGTTTTTAGTAGAATAAATTTTCTAATCTAATAAGTGGACTATTTAATTAGTATATCCAATAATGTGAAGTATTTTTATACTTTCACTTTCATATATTTGAAATTAGTTGATTTATTTAGTGCTTTATGCTATTCAATATTTTCTCAATTATTACAATTTTTAATCAATTATTAGATTCAATCAAGGTTCAAAGTGTCGACATGTATCGGCCCATATTGGTCGATACGTATCATTCCGGGACCCCTCCGATACGCCCCTATAGTGGGTGTATCGGGGGTCTGACTGGTTCAGGGGGTGGAGGAGACCTAAACTGGCCCCCCTAAATCGATTTTAGAAGAAAATAGAAAAAAACTAAAAAAGAAACATAATTGATTCGCCTGATATGCCCATACCAGCGTATCAGGCATATCGGTATTTTGAAACTTGGATTCAATAGTTAAAAATACTTAGTATTGAATCAACAATACTGAAATTTGGAGAGAACAAATGCTTTAAATTTATTTATATTAATATTATAGCTTAACTTTAGTTGTTTTAACCCTTCCATAAATCAATTTATTGATATAATTGTTTACTTATTTTCAAATTCTAATACATATAATAATATATTGATTTATTATTATTTTTGGGATTATACCAATACATATCATTTTAATTTATAATAGTATTTTCATTCACACATCACTATTATAATGCATCTAATCATATATTAGTAACTAAATAGCATCAAATGTAAATTTCACTAAATCTAGAAATTATCAACAATTAACATCATTTAAGGATCAATCAGTGAAATTATGTATTTACACTAAAACTTACTRTTAATTACATTTATGGTTAATTAACAGAATTTCACTAATCCATCTGTCGCTTGAATGATGCCAAAAATAGAAAAAAATACTGTGGTTATCACCTCTCAAAATGTGATAAAAACAAAGCAATATTACTAGTAAGACTTTGGTATGAATTGAAACAGAGGAACATTGTGAAATGTGGTTGGAAAATGGAAATGTTGTGCAAGAACAAGGATTCTACTGTGAGTGTGCAAAGGATAGAAACATAAATAGAGTTAGAAGACTTATCGGTTGAGGCGTGTTTTAACATTGTCCTTAAGTAAAATTTCACTTCCTCTGGATTAAATCTGGTGCAATGCAAGAAGTCCGACGTTAGGTAGTAACTCTTATGAGAGATGCCATTAATGGTTATGATTGAGAGGTACGAATTTAAATGAAAAGATAGTTTGTTTAGAATGAAAAAAATGAAAGGTCATTTGTTTGAATTCGAAAATAAAAGGCAATTTAAAGAAAAGACAAAACTGTTCGAATTCAAAATTACATGTCACAAAAAGGTAGGCGAGAACCCACACCCACACCTGTTCCCACGCCCCAACTTGGCTTGGTGCGTGCGTGTGAAAGAGAATTCCTAACCGCCCACCAAGCCATGAGAGACCATATGTATATCCACCCCATATGGGAAAGGCCATTACCTAGTAATAAACTCAACGTTTTTCTTGTAATTTTTCCATGTGGGATTCAAGCAAAGCTAGGAGAGAAAAAATGTGTTCAAAGAGTGGAGGGAAACAAAATTTGAATTTTGGCAAAAGTCAATTGGATTATGTGAGCATGAGACATGTGTGGGTGTGCAATTGAAAGAAAAAAAGACAAAACTAACATTCCTAAACTTTTGAATCACACACATAAAACTACAACAATCCCCAATGTAAGTGTCTTTTAGACTATGAACATACATTTAGGATATGCAAATTAGAGCCTACAGAAGCATGGTGGATTATGCCTATGAACCATTGGAAATTAATCCTTTAACTACATTATGTCTCAATCTGATATATTTATTTTTGCCATTAGAGGTCTTATTCTTTGTTTGAGCAATAACAACCTATCAATCACAATGTAGTAAAATATAGGGAATTGGCTTTTCACATAAAGGAATATCAACTAAGAGATTTGTTAGCTATTTAGTTTAAGCTTAGCCTTTTTCAAGGTTATAAATTCAAATTCCATGGCGGATTTGATTGTGCATGTTTGTTTAGAGGAATTCCATGACACAACATMCCCACCAAGTATAAAAATATAACCATTGGTAGAATTTGATTCTAATCTGAAATCAAATT